GAGTACATCCGGGGATCCTGTTCGCAATTTCCCAGTTCTATTGAAGTCAAAAAAAAAAAAAAAAAAAAAAAAAAAAAAATTCACCAGAAATTTATTAAGATCTAAGACCTGAACTAATTGAATTTGAGTATATTAATTCCTGGGTAAACATAATGCGGTGGAACTTTACTAAATGCAAGGTTTCACAGTTCAGTAAATATGTTTTCAGTGTGTTGATGCTTTTGAATAAGTTCGTAGTAACTTAGACCCGTGTTTTGGCTAAGTTGATATTTTTTTTAATGAATATAGTTTAGCTTTTACATTTTTTTCACTTTTGACATGATGAGTACCAAAATGACAAAATATAATATTATATATATATATATATATATATTATATATATATATATATTATATATGCATATATGTATATGTGTGTGTGTGTTGTGTGTGTTTGTGTGTGAGTAATTATGGTAATCGCACTGTCATTATGTATAACAATTTGTGTATAAACAAAAAAAGCACACACACACACGCACACGCACCCCCCCCCCCCCCAATCGCACACACCTCCCTCCCACACCGCCTATCCCCTCCCCCCCCCACACACACGTTCCCTTCCACCGCCCCCCCCCCCAATCCACCCCTTAACACCCCCCCCTCCCCCCCGAAACACACAATAGGACTCCCCCCCCAATCCACCCCTTAACCCTTCCCCCCGAAACACACAATAGAACCCCCCCGCCCAATCCACCCCTTAAACCCCCCCCCACCCACCCCCTTAACCCCCTCCCACTCCACACCTTAACCCCCCCAATCCACCCCCGCCCCCTCCCCCACTCCACCCCGCCCCCTCCCCCCCACCCCCCCCCCACTCCACCCCTTAACCCCCCCACTCCACCCCTTAACCCCCCCCCATCCCCTTAACCCCCCCACTCCACCCCTTAACCCCCCCCCACTCCGCCCCCGCCCCTCCCCCACTCCGCCCCCGCCCCCTCCCCCACTCCACCCCTTAACCCCCCCACTCCACCCCTTAACCCCCCCCCTCCGCCCCGCGACCCCCCTCCAGACACCATTGACTATAGGAAGCGTTTCCCAGGAGAGCGCGCTGGTCGAACGGCTGGCGCGCTGCAGAGGGAGTGCCAGGGAACCCCCCAGCCCCCGCCCACCCCCAGGCACAGCCCACCCCGAGGCCGCGCGACGCCTCAACCCGCCGCCCACACGCCCTCGCACTCGCCCACCCCTCGCACTCGCCGCCGATCTCCTCCGCCCACGCCAGCAGAGCATTCCATCCACGCCCGTCAAGACGAGAAGCGCGGCGGCACCAGTCTCGTCGCCCCATCAGGTCAGGCAGGGTGTCAGAGAGAGAGAGAGAGAGAGAGAGAGAGAGAGAGAGAAAGAGAGAGAGAGAGAGAGAGAGAAAGAAAAAGAGAGACTGGGAGAGGAGAGAGAGAGAGAGAGAGTCAGCAGTCAGTCAAGTCAGTCAGAGAGAGAGAGAAAGAGAGAGTCAGGCAGTCAGTCAGTCAGGCAGTTAGTCAATTAGTCAATCAGCAGTCAGAGAGAGAGAGAGAATGAGTCAGCAGTCAGTTAGTCAAGCAATCAGTTAGTCAGGCAGTCAGTCAGTTCGTTAGTCAGTCAGAAGAGAGAGAGAGAGACAGTCAGGCAGTCAGTTAGTCAAGCAATCAGTTAGTCAGGCAGTGTCAGTCAGGCAGTTAGTTCGTTAGTCAGTCAGTCAGAGAGAGAGAGAGAGAGTCAGGCAGTAGTTAGTCAGACAAGCAGGTAGTCAATTAGTTAGTCAAACAGGCCGTCAGTTAGGCAGGCAGTGAAGCACTCTAGTCAGTCACTCAGTCAAGCAGTTAGTAAGGCACTCTAGTCAGTCAAGCAGTCATTCAGTCAATTTAGTCACAGTCATCCAATCAGGCATATTGGTCAGTTCATTCAATCACATGGCTGACAAAAAGTCAAGAGCATTCTTTTTATATTTTCTATTATACAGATATATATTAAATTTATAATATGTGTGAATTATCTAATCATGGTAATTGTTAATAGTTTTGATCTTAAAGAGAGTGAGAGAGAGAGAGAGAGAAAGAGAGAAGGAGAGAAGAGAGAGAGAGAGAGAGAGAGAGAGAGAGAGAGAGAGAGAGAGAGAGAGAAGAGAGAGAGAGAGAGAGAGAGAGAGAGAGAGAGAGAGAGAGAGAGAAGAGAGATAGATAGATAGATAGAGAGAGATTATCTAATCATGCAATGTAATATGTAATCAATATAACATGTCATCACGCCAGTATATGTGAGATAGTATGTGTGAATGATCAAACACTGACACTAATTAATAGTGTTAATGGCGCCTAGACGGTGACAGTGCCCGATTCAAGGTTTGGTTTAAGGTCCCCTAAAGACTTGAAGCAACCTTAATCAGTTAGTTGTTCCCAAGGCGGTCGGTTCGTTAATTACTGTCACGCTAATCAACTCATAAAATACTCATTCTTTTTTTTTTTTTTTTTTTTTTTTTTTTTTTTTGTCACAACGATTTAGTCATTCATTATTTAAGTCAGTCTGTAAGTCACTCGTTTAGTAAGTTAGTTACTAACTGGTCTTTGGTTTGTGATCTAGCCAATCCGATCTGCTTATATGTGTCAGCTGTCAAGTCATCTGGACGAGTTAGTCATGGGCTCAGCCAGTCCCGCAAACAATTAAGAAATTATGCATTATGTTAATTAGTCATGGATTATCTTATATTTGATATTTTTTAGTATTGATTATTCTAGCTTATTAAACAGTTCATCACTTTATGTTAATTAATTTCTATCAATTCTAGTTATTACTCAATTTAAATCGCACCAGTGATTTGACATATCATTAATTAGAGTCGATCAACATTTTAAGCAATCAAAAGAACACCAACCATAATTATAATGATTACATGATTCAAATCAACATCACGACCACATCATATCATGAGTAACAGGATATTATTCTATCATCATTATTACATCTTGATAATATGACGACCATCCCATGCTTCTAATCAATATCACGACCACATCATATTATGAAAATGTTATATCATTATCATATCATATCTTGATAATATGACGACCATTCCCTGCTTCTAATGAACCCGTATGATATAACACAATATCATTCTATCATCCTATTATACCTCGATGATATGACGACCATTCCCTGCTTCTAATGAACCCGTATAATATAACAAAATATCATTCTATCATCCTATTATACCTCGATGATATGACGGCCATTCCCAGCTTCTAATGACCCCTTCCTCTTCAAAGGAAACACTTGTTGAACTCGCCGCTGCTCTCCCGGCGAAGACAGCGACGAGGCACAGTGGAGAGCAGTGACGACGAGGTGGTCCACTGTTCGAGCGACGCCGAGGTCCTCTGTTCCTCGTCCAACTACAGGGACCTCGAGACGTTTCAGAAGACGCAGCTGAGGAATAAGGTAAGGGGATGGTGGACGAGGTGGAGGGGGAGGAGGTGGAGGTGGAGGGAAGGGAAGGAGGGGAGGTGGAGGTGGAGGAGAGGGAAGGGGGAGGGGGAGGAGGAAGAGGGAAGATGGGAAGGTGGAGGTCCTCTGTTCCTCGTCCAACTACAGGGACCTCGAGACGTTTCAGAAGACGCAGCTGAGGAATAAGCGTAAGGGGGATGGTGGACGAGTGGAGGGGGAGGAGGTGGAGTGAGGGAAGGGAAGGAGGGGGAGGTGGAGGTGGAGGAAGAGGGAAGGGAGGGGGAGGAAAGAGGAAGGGAATGGGAAGGTGGAGGTCCTCTGTTCCTCGTCCAACTACAGGGACCTCGAGACGTTTCAGAAGACGCAGCTGAGGAATAAGGTAAGGGGATGTGGACGAGGTGGAGGGGGGAGGAGGTGGAGGTGGAGGAAGGGAGGAGGGGGAGGTGAGGTGGAGGAAGGGAAGGGGAGGGAGGGAGGAAGAGGGAAGGGATGGGAAGGTGGATCCCTGTTCCTCGTCCAACTACAGGGACGGACCTCGAGACGTTTTCAGAAGACGCAGCTGAGAATAAGGTAAGGGGATGGTGGACGAGGTGAGGGGGAGGAGGTGAGGTGGAGGGGAAGGGAAGGAGGGGGAGGTGGAGGTGGAGGAAGAGGGAAGGGGGAGGGGGAGGGAGGAAAGGGAAGGGATGGGAAGGTGGAGGTCCTCTGTTCCTCGTCCAACTACAGGGACCTCGAGACGTTTCAGAAGACGCAGCTGAGAGGAGGGATGGGGTGGGAAGGTGAGGGAAGGGAGGGAGATGGGATGGGTGGAGGAGAAGGAGGAGGAGAGGGAGAGATGGAGGTGGAGACGGAGGAGGAGGATGGGAAGGAGTTGAGGAGGAACGAGGGAGAGGAGGAGGTGGAGGTGGAGACGGAAGAGGAGGTAAGGGAGGGAAGGAAGGAAGGTTGAGGAGAAGGACGAGGTGGAGGTGGAAGTGGAAGTGGAGGGGAGGGAATGGAGAAAAGGGAAGGTGAAGGTCCTCTGTCCCTCGTCCAGCTACAAGGACCTCGAGACGTTCCAGAAGACGCAGCTGAGAAAGGAAATAATGGGAATGGAGATGGTAGTGGTGGAGGAGAGGAGAGGAGGGAGAGGGACGATGGAAATGGAAGTGAAAATGATAGTGGTGGAGAAGGAGGCGGAGGGAAGGGGAGAGGGAAGGAATCGGAAGTCGAAGGTAAGGAAAGAGAGGGTGAAAGTCCTCTGTTCCTACAGGGACCTCGAGACGACTCAGCTGAGGAATAGGGTGGAGGGAAGGAAGGAAGAGGGAAAGGGAAAGGGGGAAGAGGTGAGGGAAAGGGGAAGGAATGGGTGAAGAGGTGTAGGGAACGGGGAGGGAAAGAGGGGAAGAGGTGGAGGGGAGGGAGGGAGGGGGGAAGAGGTAGAGGGAAGGGAAGAGAAAGAGGGGAAGAGGTGGGAGGAAGGGAGGAAAAAGGGGAAGAGGTGGAAGAAAGGGATAAGAGGTAGGCAAGAAGAAGGGGAAGGGGAGGAGAGGGGAGAGGGAGAAAAAGAAAAAGAGGAAGAACGAATGAATTAAGGAAGTAGACGAGGAAAAGGAACGAGGGGGGGGCGGGGGAGAGAAGAGGAGAAATGGTAGAGAAGGGAGAGAAGAAGGAGAACATGAAGAAAGTAGAGGAGGTGGTGGAGCTATAGCGATGAAGGAAGAGAAATAGAAGGGGGACGTGGAGGAAGACGCTAGAAGAGGAATAAGAATAATAGGAAGGTTCTCCTCTCACCTTCTAACCCCATGGCACCATTTCACTACCGCGAATAGGGAAATGGAAGAATAAAGAAAAAGGGAGGAGGCGAGAAGGGGGACAGTGGGGGGAATCGGATCAGGGAGACAAGGAAAGGGAGATAGCGGAGGAGGGAAAATCATATTGAGGATTAAATGTCTACCCATTATTGCTTTTAACCACTAACCATTGAGAAATACATTTATTGGCTTTTTTATGCTGTTTATTCTCATCATGGTGTGTTTCCGTTGCTTGTGGTGTAGTGGTAGCGTTCACACCAGTTAGTCTCGCTGGTATGAGTTCAGTTCCCGCCTCATCAGTGGAGGGAAACGCCAGCCATTCCTTGCACAGAGAGTGTGATTAAGGACAAGAAATTGATAATCGTACTTTGGATAAAATGACATGTTTAGATTATTATTATTATGTTGTTTTGTTATTCTTATTATCATTACTGTTGTTATTATTGATCATTATTGTTATTATTATTATTATTGTTATCATCATTATTGTTGTTATTATTCTTATTGTTATATTCATTACTGTTGTTATTATTCTTATTGTTATCATTACTGTTGTTAATTATTATTATTATTGTTATTATTATTATTGTTATTATTCTTATTGTTATCATTATTGTTATTATTATATTATTATTCATTTTTGTTGTCATCATCATCATCATCATCATCATCATTATCATTATTATCCTCATTACCACCCCCCCCTCCGCAGCTCCGACGGTCGCGCGGCCGGAGCGACGGCAGCCTGGGCGGCGGCAACGGCGGCGGCAGCGGCAGCGGCGACAGCTCGGGGTCGCCGACGCCCCGACACCGCCAGTTCGTGATGCACAACAAGGCGCCGCTCTGGAACGAGAACTCCCAGGTGTACCAGCTCGACTTCGGCGGGAGAGTCACGCAGGAGTCGGCCAAGAATTTCCAGATCGAGTTCAAGGGCAAGCAGGTACGTTATTATTATTGTTGTTATTACCATTATTATGATCATTATTATCATTATTATTATTATTATTATCATCATCATTATCATCATAAGGTATACCAAGAGTCCCACTAAAAAAAAAAAAAAAAAAAAAAAAAAAAAAAAAAAAATTGGAGATTTACACCACCAAAAGCGTCAGTGCAGGTCAAGACACAGCTAACCCCCCCATTTTCCTCCCCCCCCTCAGGTGATGCAGTTCGGGCGGATCGACGGAAATGCGTACACCCTCGACTTCCAGTACCGTTCAGCGCCGTGCAAGCCTTCGCTGTAGCTCTGGCCAACGTCACGCAGAGACTCAAATGATACAGGATGTACCCGGAGAGCCAGGTGAGGGGGGTGGGTGGGTGGGGTGAGGGGTGGGGGGTGGGGGTGAGGGTGGGGGGTTTGGAGGTGGAGGAGGGGGGTGGGGGTGGGGGTAGATGGGAGGTGGGGTGGAGGTAGAAGTAGATTGGAGGTGGAGGTGGAGGTAGATTGGAGGAGGAGGTGGAGGTGGAGGTGGAGGAGGAGGTGGAGAGGAGGAGGTGGAGGTGGAGGTAGATTGGAGGAGGAGGTGGAGGTGAGGTAGATTAGGTGGAGATTGGAAGAGGAGATGGAGGAGGAGGTGGAGGTAGATTGGAAGGAGGAGGTGGAGGTGGAGGTAGACTGGAGGAGGAGGTGGGGGTAGATTGGAGGAGGAGGTGGAGGTGGATTGGAGGAGGAGGAAGAGGTGAAGGTGGAGGTAGATTGGAGGTGGGTAGGTTGGAGGAGGAGGTGATAGAGGTGGAGGTGACAGAGGTAGGGATGGAGGTGGAGGTGGGGGTTAGTGTGGAGGTGGATGTCAGGATCGAGATGAGAGTACAGGTGGAGATGGGAGTAGAGCTTGAGATAAAAGTGGAAGCGAAAGTGGGGGTGGGGTGGGGGTTAGAGTAAAGATGGAGGTAGAGGTGAAAGTGGAGGAGAAGGAGAAGTTTAAGGAACAGCGGCGTGGCTAGTTATCGAATAAAAAAGTTATCTGAATATTCATATGCAGAGCTGTCAGATGCAACGAGGTCTTCCTAGTGGTGGGGTCGCTGTAACCAAGAAAAAGAAAGAAAAAAGAAAGCGTATGTGTGTGTGTGTGTGTGTGTCGATAGATAGATACATGTACATGAATACACTACTTCCACATCCCCATTCTATTTTTTTTTTTCTCTCTTTTTCTTTTTTTCGAGTATTCCCTATTGTGTGTGTGTCGATAGATAGATACATGTACATAAGTACACCACTTCCACATCCTAATAATTATTTTCTTCTTTTTTTCTTATTTTTCGAGTATTCCCTATTCTTTTTTTCTTTCTTTCTTCGAGTATTTCCTTTATATATTTACTAATTCGCCTTACCTCTCCCCAGGCCGCTCACAGCCACAGCGTAGTCATCCTGGAGTTCTGGTGACGTCAACTGCCGACTATTTTCACCGTGGACTGCTGGGTCATTCTGTATTCCGATTGTGAAAACGTTGTTGTTATCAAAGCGATCTGTTCTGTTTAGTATTGCTACTAATGTTACTACACAAGCAGAGAATTAGAAGAAGATAGATTTTGTTCTTCTTCTTCTTCTTCTAAAGAGGAGAGAGAAAGAGACAGAAGAAAATAGGATGTTGAAGTTATGTGGTGTTATGTGATTTTTTTTCTCTCTTTTTTTCGAGTGATATATTTATGTCTGGACTTTATAGAGTCGAGAAATATTTTGTGCTGGTGTTCTCTGACTCTCTGCACATGTTGTCAAGTCGGATTATTGCCAGAGGTATGATAATGCTCACTACTGTACCATTTGGGTAACGTGTGTAATAGGGAAAATATGTTGCAATTTTTTTTTTTTTTTTTTAGATGAAGAGATATTTAAAGAATGGGAAAGACACACTGCAGACAATATTGTATGTGATATTATTACTGCTTTAAACTCTTAAGATGTGTTGTATAAGTACAGTTTTCACCATAGTTTTTAAGCCCGTAGCCTTTCGTTGCATCGCACACGCATGTAACGGAGAGTCATCTGGTGACGATTTTCTGCACTTAATTTCCCTTTTTTATTTTGTTAATTTCTTGGGAAATATTGTCTTTTGTATCAAGTCAAAGAACAATAAGATGAAGCCGAATTCAGCTATGTGTATGTATGTGTATGTATGTGTGTGCATACATACATACATATATATATATATATATATATATATATATATATTATATATATATATATATAATATATATATATATATATATATATATATATATATATATGTATATAATAATATATAATATATATAATATATAATATATATAATATATATTATATATATATATATATATATATATATATTATATATATATATATATATATATATATATATATATATATATATATATATATATATATATATAATATATATAATATATATATATAATATATATATATATATAATATATATATATATAAATATATATATATGTATATATATATATATATATATATATATATATATATATATATATATATATATATATATATATATATATAAACATACACTCACATATGAATGCATACATGGCGTCAGGACAGGAAAATGAGTAAACTTCTCAAGTGCGTCGTCGAAACTATTTTGGGCAATCCCGAAATGTAAAAAAAAAAAAACATGTTGAATTAAACCATTCTAGTCATCTAAACTAGTTGCTCTTAAATATATCTAGAAGTTAGACATGCTGACTCCCAAACCCGACTTCTCTCTCTCACACTCACCATGCTTTCATTCCTGTGTCGTCCCTCTCTTCAGCTCTCTCTCTCTCTCTCTCTCCTCTCTCTCTCTCTCTCTCTCTCTCTCTCTCTCTCTCTCTCTCTCTCTTCTCTCTCTCTCTCTCTCCCTCTCTCTCTCTCTCTCCCTCCCTCCCTCCTCCCTCCCTCCCTCCCTCCTCCTCCTCCCTCCCTCCTCTTCCTCTTCCTTCCTTCCTTCCTTCCTTCCTTCCTTCCCTTCCTCCCTCCCTCCCTCCCTCCCTCCCTCCCTCCCTCTCTCTTTCTATCCCCTGCTTTACTTATGTCTTCTTATCCCTCCCTCCCTCTCCCTCTTTCCTTCATCCAATCTTTTCTAATTGTCTCTTCCTCTCTACAATTGTATTTTTATTCTATTATTCTATTTCTTGTTTTTCTAACCTTCTGTTAACTATTTTACCCCATGTTTTGTTATCCTTTCTTTCATCTTGTCTCTGATATCTTATATATTCACTTTTTCTCCCTCTCACTCCACCATTTTCTCTCTTATTCTTTTCTGCATTTCTCCATTTACCCCTTCCATGTCTTATCTCTCCCTTACCTCCTCTCCCTTCTTCCCTCTTTTCCTCCATTCCCCTCTTCCTTCCTTCCTTGGCTCGATTATATCCTTCTCTCCATTCATTACCTCTCCTTCTTCCTTCATTCCCTCACTTCTTACATTTTTCTCCTTCCCTTCATTCCCTCCTCTTCCTTCCTCCAGCCTCATTTCTCTCTCCTTTCATTCCTGGTCTCGCTTCTATCCTTCCCTCCTTCTTTTATTCTTTCCCTGTCCTGCCTCTTAATTTTATTTCCTCCCTCATAGTTTTATTCCCTCCCTGCCCTCCCTCTTTTCCTTCCCTCTTACTTTTATTCCCTCCCTGCCTTACCTCCTATTTTATTTCCTCCCTCCTACTTTAATTCTCTCTCTTCCTTCCCCTCCAAATTTTACTCCCTCCTTGCCCTCTCTCTCTTCCCTCCCTCCTACTTTTATTCTCTCCCTTCCTTCCCTCCAACTTATATTCCCTCCCTGCCCTCTCTCCATTTTTTCCCCTTCTACTTTTATTCCTTCCTCCCTTCCCTCCTTCCTCCTTCCCTCCCGTCCTCCTTCCCCTCTCCCTCCTTCCCTCCTTCCCTCCTTCCCTCCTTCCCTCCTTCCTCCCTGCCCTGCTACTCCGTCCGTTCATTCCGTGCCTGAAATATCTATATATACGAAGTCTTAATAGAGGAAAGCTTCATTGGTCATTTATTTGCTTTGTAACATGCCAGTTGTGACAGCCTGGTTAGTCCACTGAAAAACATTTTATGAAGTTATCCATTTTTTCTTTGTTGTTATTATTATTATCATTATTGCTATTATTGTTATTACTATTATTATCATTATTATTATTATTATCATTATTATTATTATTAATATTATTATTATTATTATTATCATTATCGTTTTTATTTGAGGTATTTTTAGGTTATGTCGTTCCCTTTTTTTTCATTTATAGATTTCTTTTTTCGTGATGTGGCAGTATATTCATTTATTTTCAGGCAATTAGTTTGTTTATTGATTTATTCATTTCTATTTTTGTATATGTTCATTTTTCAGTCGTGATGGTTGTCTCGTATGACAGTGTGGGTGAGTCAGGATTTTTATTTATTCTTTTATTTTCTAATGTGTTTAGTATTATTTAATTTTTTTTTTTTTTTTCTTGATTGTGGCCACCATTTGCACATTGAATTATTTCAGTTGGATAAGAAATGTTATCATATTCACTTTGCTAAGATATATTTCCCCAATTTTTTATTTTCTATTTTTTTCTTTTATGTGACCTTTTCAGATATCATTGACTTTATTGTATTTCCACTTTTAAGCTCGTTTTTTTTTATATTGTTATGTGTTCTTCCCACTTTACTAGTTCCTCGTTATAACATTCCATTATTTCCTTAACATACAGATTTTTATCCTGTGTTCTGAAATTTCTTACATGCATTTACTTTATATTTTTGTATTACAAAATAAGTTTGTATTTTATCAAGTTCCTTATTAGTGATTGAGAGAGAGAGAGAGAGAGAGAGAGAGAGAGAGAGAGAGAGAGAGGTAATTCTAATATTAATTTTCTTTTATTTGGTTGTGATACTTCATATTAATACCTTGAATTATGCTGCAAGAGAACATTACAGTAGAAATTGTTGAATACATATCGGTTTATGAATTTTGAATCAATTTCACAATTCAAATAAAACCATTAAAAAAAAAACATTTCAACACACAATTTTAGTTCTTTATTTTTTCTGATATTTAGTGAATGGATTTTGAAATTCTTTTATACAGAACTGCCAACAGATGAGAGATTAGACTTTTTTTTGTGCTTGTCTGTTTATTATCATTTTATTCACTTTTTCTTAATGACATTTGTAACAACAGTCCATCCTGCTCTGTGTACAGCTATTTTGTACATCGTGTTTAGGCGGTAGAAAGATTATTTTGTACATAAGAATGCTGTAGACTGTACAGAATAATGACCATATTGTCTTACCTAAGCCAAAGAGAAAAGAAACAT